TAAATTATATCGAGAATATAAGTAAATTGCATTTTCACATCTATGAATGCTAACAAATTTGAACAAATTAAAAGTTAAAACCTTAAAAGTACAATAATAATTCAAGTACAAATTCTTGTATATAATTACGCCAATAATGCGTACGCACACATTCTTACAATATAATATAACGATCAATCTACTATATTTGTATATCTTGTTTTTGCCTAGTACTGATATTCCTAGACTAGTATATAAGGGTGAACAAAAATTTTCACCAACCAAAATCTTGAACCCAATAATGAAAAAAGAAAACAAAAAGAATCAATAAATCTGCTTACAGTATCTCGTCGCGTATTTACATGACAGCTTGAACAAAATAATGTCAATAACTCAAAAAAGTCTCCTAGCTTGAAACAACGGCGTTTGGCTAGTTATTGAGCCGGTTCGTCCCTTTGCTAGGCGCAGAAGGCACCGGTGGACCTCTAGGAAGCATATTGAAGAAGACTGATCCGGGTCCTTGTGTCGTTGGTGCTTGCCTTCCGGTAGACTGAAACGTATTTTGTTTCGGGTTTTCACGGTGTTTTCTCAGCAAGTGTCTAGCAGAAGCCGTGCTTGAAACGATCAAGAAAGTTAATACAACCATTATGAACCATTTGGCAATAAGCTTATTAATCTTGCACCTTGTCATTATATTGTTATCCTCGAGATCGAAAGACCGCCTTTTCGGGTTTTCGAGTATGGTGATGGAGAAGAGAACTTGAGAGATTTGGTGTGGAGAAGAAGTTTAGAGATGAATAAGAGGTATAAGGGTGGTTTTATATGAAGGAAGGTGGAGATGGGTTTGGTGTGGGGTTTATGAATTTGACAAAGTCAAACAGATGATAAAGTCATAAGTAAGGCTTAAAAAAAGGATGTATATATATTAAAAGGGTGGAAAATTTAGAAAAAAAAAACAGCAAAAAATAGAGGTCACGCGCTTCACACGCGCCATAGTTTGACTAGTATGTAGTGAAGGTGACTTGCGCAACAAGGGTATATATGATATTATTGTTTGTTCAAATATATGGGATTTGGTAGCTAGAATTTAGTTAGATGAAGTTCCTCCAATTAGGCACATAATTTTGTGTTCCCATTTCTTTTACATACTAGACACAACCGGCCTTTGTTGGGCACTATTATAATTTAGAGTTGTCAATTTGAGTAAACAGATCGAGTTTGGGTCGGATAAGAGTGGAAGAATTCGAATTAATGCCGTAATCTATGCGGGTCGAGTTTGGGTTGGGTCATGCTTGAGTCGGGTCACGTCACGTCAACTTTTGACAGCTCTAATTATATATTGTTACAAATTAAGGGAATGAATTTTATTTCATAATACTAGCTAGCAAGTAATTAAATATACTGCTAATCTATTACTACTATTTGATATTCTTTTGACCCTATTGTTTACTTGTTCAACGATAATGATAATAAATACTACCAATTTTATCTTGATGAATAAGGAGTTATTTTTTGGTATGTACACAACTATTATGCAAGTAGTCCATTATTAAATTGAATTGCAGTAACACTTGCTAATCCTTGCGGAGTTTGCAGTTCATGCATATTGATCGTTATTTACTTTAGTACAAGTTGTGATATCGTATTAGTTATTTCATCAATACCAAATATATAACTCTATAGTATTAATGTATTTGTAGAAGTGTCGTTATATATTATTTGGGTCAAAGTCAAACGGTTGTCTTGTATATATTGACTAAACAATTAATTTGGGTTACTTTAGTCCGTATATTTGTTGCATTTATTTTGACTATTTTACAGTCTCAAAATTTGTGTTTTCAGTATTGTTATATCAAACATACATGTTGTTAGTTTGTTACTAAGGGGATATACATATACAAAGTATATCCCTTTTTATTGTTTAGTTCTTCTTACCTTTTTAAAAAAATTAATTAATTAATTAAACATGCTAAGTATATCCTGTCAAAAAAAAAAAACATGCAGTATATTAAAGTTGAGGGAGTGCTTCTTAACAAGTGATGTTAGAAGCGGATATTTTTTTCAAGGAGCTTTTTAATTTGATCAATGATGAAGAAAGTTAAGCAAACCAGAATTTGGGTTGAATAATATTCAATTATCTCATTATTAGTATAGGAAAAAAATTATCATTAATTATACTTCGTATTACTTCGTCCATTAAAATTACTCCATTTGATCTAAAAAGCTCTCATAAAAATTAGTAAAATGAGACAATCTTAGTAAATAGAAGAAACTGAGACGCTGAACATACACCTTTTTATATGACAATTATAATAGTGTAATATTTAAAATTAAAATTGGCCGCATAAAAAACTTTATTAGCTAGATGGGCCTTGCAATCACCAAATAAAGATTTTCAATGGATCAAGTCACCCTAAAAAAAAGTAGAAAGAGAAAAAGTGATGTACATGTTGTAACACACTCCCTTTCTCTCATAATATTTGCTAGAACTTTCTGTCAATGTTATGGTATCACAAAATCGCATCCAATTATTTATGAATATATGCATTTCTTAGATGTTTCTTATGGCTGCTGTGAAGATATAGGATGACGGATATATTTTCTCCGGTTTTTTTATAGTTGTAATAATTTAACTTTTACACTATATATAAGTAAAAATACAGTCATGTGGAATCTTATTAGATTCGTTTCAATTTATACAATTTTAAATCAAATGTTTGTAATTTTTACATATTGATAATTAAAAATATTAATGATTTGAAATATGCATCGACAAGAAGTGTTGTAACTATGAAAAAATAGAGGAAACACAAAAGAGTGGGTCCTAAAATAATTAATGAAAGTAGTATGTGATTGAAGATTTGAACTAGAATGAGAAAAAGGGTAGCAGTCGATTAGATTAGATCCTTTTGTTTAAGTGTGATAAGAAAGTAGCATTGTTTTTGCCGGTGGGTTGGACCTCTAACTGAATTATAACATAGGTCAATTATATTTTAATTAATTATCAAAAGGTGATTATCATTCTTATATCATCTTTGACTGCAGCTTACTACGTATTTAATTAAGGACTAATGAGATGCATCATGTATGATGTATATATGTCGCACCAAACAATTATCACATCTCCTCGCATGTATTAGTGACAGTTTATGAGCCTACATACAATTTCGATGCACTTTTAAAATTTAAACCAATATCGGGTATCATCAATTTTAAAAGATGAAATTTATTTGTAACCCTATATATAATTACCCTTCAATTTATTATACTAATTTAAAGTCTTCTTAGGGGTTACTTGAATTACTCGTTAGGGATTACTTGAGTTTTTCAGTCAAAGGTTACTTGAGTTACTCGGTCAGGGTTACTCGAGAATTCACTCAGTTAAGGGTTACCTAGTCAGGGGTTACTCCAGTTTCTCGGTCAGACCACATTCAAAAAATTGTGACTCGAGTAACCCTTGCAAGACCAACTTTAGTAATCCCGGCCCTGATTGAAAAACTCGAGTAACCCCTGATCGAAAAGCTCAAGTAACCCCTGATGACCGAGAAATTCAAAAAACCCCAAAAACTCAAATAACCCTAATCGAGAAACTCAAGTATCTCCTGTCGCACGGTACAACAGGCCGCATTTATAAAAAATGAAAAATGTTATACATAGTCCTTAGGGCTACATATACGCATTGAAAACACTCTTGAAAATTGTTTAAATTTAGAAAATCATGACAAAAACACACTTATTACACTGATCTACGCGTGTTTTTGCAATAAATTCCTAATTTTATACAATTTTCAATAGTATTTTAAATGCTTATATATAGCTCTAAGGGCTATGTATAACATTACACCATTTTATGCATATTTATGTCATTAACGCTAAAATATACCAATTAGATTGCGTTCTTGCATTAACTTGCACATTCATGCATTGTTTCTGTCATATAGCGCGTGCGATTCACGGAGAACTGGCCAAAGATGGAGCGAGTAGTAAAGGAATGTTGAGGAAGTCAAGGGAGACATCATGCACGTTGAGTGAAGGCCTTGACTTTTTTAGTAGGACATAAACAATAAAGCCAGCTGTATAAGGCTTGCGGCCCACGTACGCGTTGCTTGGGTGTGGGCCGTCGTCATGGTATTTGGAGGCTTACTTTCAAGATTTTCCGAGCCAACACTTGTCTACCACGTAAGCTTTTACCTTCTGGCCGGCAACATTCTTTGAACATACCAAACACCATCCTATAAATACTCAGTCCGTCTCATTTTACTTAATAATATGTAACGGAGGTAGTACATACAAATACTACCAAAGTAGAGTACTATTATATTGTTTGTTCCATAAAAAAAAAAAAGAATCTATACTATTAAATATAGAGACACGTGACAAGATTATGATGTGCAACTATTAGATTTTTACAATGGTAAACATAGTATCAATGTTTCAAGCCCAAAGTTATTATGAAGTAATCGTAGCAATCAAGCCCAAATATGTTTATTTTTATTTTTTTTTTTAAAAAGCAGCTTAGTTAGGCTATATCCAATAATCCAAATATATTAAATCTCCAGTTTCAAGTAGTTGGTATACAAACTATACATGTTTTATGTTTTAACTTTAAAGTGCAACAAACACCCCAAATCAAAGAATTACTCCAACTCAACTCCTCCTTTCTTCTCCAAGCAAAGTAAAGAGTGAGCATTCAACACAAGATGATCAACTATACAATTAGATACATTTAGTTATACTTGGTACATTCTTCTGGATTTCAACCGTATTGGCCAATTGTGCTATACTACGGAATATATATATACATCGTGCACCACTACAAATTATACATTGTGCACTATTCCGTAGTACACTATTTATTATGGTATCATTTTTTGTTTGTACATTAATTTAATTTATTAAGCTTACATAAATTAAAATCCACTCATCATCACCAATTGCTACAATAATTTCTTAAAATAAATGAATTAAAAAAAAAATAATTGGCAAGCTTAAAAGAAAGAGATATTTTATACTTTCCATGATTTCTAGGGAAAAAATACACAAATATTTTTGCAAGTAGATCGATGGTCAAATCCGATGATGAGATCAGAGTAATTACAATCTAATTAATTTGGCTAATAAACTCGATCTATCTCGCCAACTCCTTCCATACATTTAACAAAAAACACTAAAAATTAAAGTATATAATTATAATATTACATCAAAGCTTCATATATATATATATAATATAATTAGCTAGAACTCTTAATCAACCATGCATGAATTATTGATACATACTAGCTTATTTTAGTCTCTCTATTCATGCAATGCAACCACAAAATTAAACTAAATAAATCAAAACAACTCCATCTTATGCACCTCTCCCTAACATCTCTTGAATTTTCTTGAAAGAATCCCATTTTTGTAGGAGCATTTGTCTACGAAACCTTTGGATAAACAAATCCGCAACATGATCTATCTCATCTTCCAACTTAAAATCTTGCCCTTCATTCTCTTTCGAGTTTTTCACTATATCGATGATCGACCCTCCATGTTCTTCCTCTTCATCAAACAAAGAATGAGTAAGATCCGGATACTTATTATCGTCGTAGTATTGATCACGACCATAGTATTCTAACAACAACTCCCTCTTTTCTGATGGCGCGAGCTCATCATTAGGCACGTCGTAGTTAATGAGATCACTAGACTCATTACCTAAATTTGCATTGTAGAGGATGATTGCCGTGTTTTGATCTTCTAAACTTATTTCTTCCTCGGCCATTATCTTGTCACGCTTTCGATCTATCAAAGCTTGGATCTTGGTAGTAAGTGTACCAAGTGATATTTTCTTGCCCTTCATTAGTGAGAAAACTAAAAGACGAATTTTCATAGCATTTGCTTTGCCCTTCACCCCCGTTACCTTACCCTTCACGATAGAACTCAAAGTCGAAATTATATTCTTCACAAAATTGGAAGCTTTGTTCTTCATCTTTTATTTTTGTTTCTCTCTAGATCATATGATGTTACAACAATCAATATATTCAAGATATGTGGTAACTAGGGTTAATTTGTTTGTACGTGTTTGTGGCCTGATAGGTTTAATTTGTATTGTACGTGTTTTGAATCGACTTTGGATTGAAATTATGGAAATGTGATATGCAAATGAACTTAGTTTATATAGATGCATGAAAAGAGAGAGGAAAAAAAAAGGCATAAATTGGATTAAGTTAGTGCTTACTGTGTGGTGTACTAATGTACGTACCTTTATTTTGTTAACTTTTATTAGCTGGTTCATGCATGCATTATACAATTGTGCATAGTTTCACCGGCCATGTGATTTTTAAGATATTAAATGTTAAAGAAGGTAGTAATAAAGTGGCAAAAGTTGAAACAGAAAAAAAAATAAAAAAAAAATAATAATAATTAAAATTTCAATTCAGCTGATCTTAGCTTCCTTCCAAAAGCTGATACAGCACTAATAAATATTCGAAAACAGAAGAATCCTTAGCTACTAAGAAATTTCAAAGTTCATTGTTGAAGGGCTCAATGCATGCTTTATTTTGCACATGTCATTTCTATTCACATATTTTGAGTATAATAATTTAGCTTTTTCGACAAAGAGTTAGTTCAGTTGAGTTTGAGTCATTTCGGTTTTGATTATTTCGGATCGAGTGATGTGTCATTCAATTCGATTTGGATTTGATAATAACTAAGAATAGAGTTGAGTCATATACATTTTAGATGTATTGTCATCAGCGTAGTACAAAAAAACAGGTTTGTCAATTTTTTTAGGTCATTTTTTTTTTTTGAAGAATTTTGTTTAGGTCATAATTGTGTGAGTCATCTAATTTTGGCCTTTCGAGTATTGACCGGGTATGAGTCAAATCAATTTTATGAGTTCTACACTTCTATATACTAATATTGGTATACTAAGTGTATATTATATATAGTTCTAACTTTTCTTATAGATTAATAAAATACCTAATAAGCATGAGAGCCAAAAAATGTAGGATTTATTATAAACTTAGTATTTCATTACATATGAAACTTCATTATTGTACGTCTATAATCTATAAGAAGACAATTATTAATAGAAGTACTATGTACTACGTATGCAACAAAGAATATGGTACGAGCAACTTTTTTATGGTATGGCCACAAATGCACATAACATAACTGTTGATAAGTATTAGGTGACTCGTACTTCGTTGCTTTGTCCGCCCGATCGGGCGGACATTACCCGGTCTGACCGGGCGGAAGAAGAAGAGGTGCCTGGCAAATTCGTTGAAGAAGCTGCTCTCGCGCGCCCGACCGGGCGAGCTTTCGCCCGACCGGGCGAGCCTTCGCCCGATCGGGCGGACATTGCCCGATCGGGCCGGGCGGAAGGGGTTTTTTTGGAGTACTTCGGTTGTTGGAAAAGACGTGTTCTCGCGCCCGATCGGGCGGGCCTTCGCCCGACCGGGCGATCTGGGTTTTTTCAGCGATTACGAATTTAATATTTATCATATTGTGATATTGTAACCTAAGTATATCTTAATTAGGAATCACTACTATATAAACTTCCTATTATCATTATTAGGGTAACGGAGAGAGAAACACAAGAGAGAGAATACTTTGAGTGATTAAGTTCTTCATTGTAATCTTTGTAATCTTTGCCAGTTTATAGTGAAATCATTCGATCTCGGTGCCCGTGGACGTAGCTATCACATCGATAGTGAACCACGTAAATTCTTGGTGTTGTTCTTATTGTTTGCATTGAATTTCTTTATTGTTTTCTTGTTTGTTTACGACCTTTGCTTCCGCTGTCGCACAACAATTGGTATCAGAGCCAGGTTCAATCCTTGGAGAGTTTCTTGAAGATAACAATGGCAGGAGATTCAACAATAAGAATTGAGAAGTTTACCGGGAAAAATAGTTTCGGGCTATGGCAAATTAAGATGAAGGCTCTGTTAAAACAACAGCAGATATGGCGTCCGTTGGCTCCAAAGAGTACTACTTCGGAGTCAGGAGACGGACCGACTGACTCGCAGTTAGAAGTTATGGAAGAGAAGGCACACTCTACCATATTACTTAGTCTTGATGATCAAATCATCACGGAGGTGGCTGATCAGGAAACGGCGGCTGGATTGTGGCTGAAGCTGGAGTCATTGTATATGACTAAGTCGTTGACCAACAAATTATTACTGAAACAGCGGTTGTTTAGCCTCCGGATGCAGTCAGGTACTTCCTTACGGGAACATCTAGAAAAACTTAACTCTATTTTGCTTGATTTACGTAATTTAGATGTTAAAATTGATGATGAGGATGCTGCGTTGATTTTACTTGTATCTCTACCGTCTAGCTTTGAGAATTTTGTAGAGTCTTTTGTTGTTGGTAAGGATTCTATAACCTTAGAAGAAGTGAAGGCAGCACTTCATACTAGGGAACTCAGAATGAAAGCTACGAGTGATAATGGGGATAATGGTAGTGGGTTGTTTGTTAAGTCCGGAAAGTCTAAAAAGAATAAGGGGTTTAACAAGGGGAACAATGCTGGGTCGGGTGCTGGAAACGGCAAGGATGGATCTAGTAAAACTACTACTAAAACATGTTATTACTGTAAAGAACCGGGTCACTTTAGGAATAATTGTCCGGTGAGGAAAAACAAGTCCCAGGCTGCTGTAGTTGAAGAGAAACCGAATGAGAGCTATAATTCAGAGGAAGATTTAGCATTAGTCAGTTCTGCTAGGTCTGATGATTTATCTGATAACTGGGTTCTAGATTCAGGGTGTTCGTTCCATATGTGTCCACGTCGAGATTGGTTTGATACATATGAACCTCGCAATGGGGGCATGGTTATAGTCGGTAACAATGCTCCATGTAAGGTCACAGGTATTGGTTCCATGAGGTTGAGGACTGTTGATGGGCGGAGGTTAACTTTGACTAATGTACGGCATGTTCCTGCTTTAGGAAAGAATCTGATTTCATTGGGTACCCTGGATGACTTGGGGTACAATGGTGTGTTTTCAGATGGGGAGTTGTGTATTTTCAGAGGTTCTGAGTTGGTACTTAAGGGTATCAAAAGGAACACCCTCTATGTTTTTGAGGGTGTTACACTGCCTAGTTCTGCGGTTTGCGCATCTGTATCTCACCAGGAGATGACTAAGATTTGGCACATGAGGCTTGGTCATATGGGGGAGAAGGGGATGCAGCTATTGTCCAAGAGGGGTCTTCTATCCGGGGTCAAGGTTGCCAACCTTGAATTTTGTGAGCATTGTGTGTTTGGTAAGAAACACAGGTCAAAGTTCAGCAAGGGTGCTCACATTACTGATGCAGTGCTCGATTACATCCATTCAGATTGCTGGGGTCCATCTAGAGTTGAAGGTATGGGAGGTTACCACTATTTTGTGTCATTTGTTGATGACAAGTCCCGATACACATGGCTTAGGTTGCTTAAGTCAAAGGATGAGGCCTTCAAAGTTTTCAAGCAATGGAAAGCTTTGGTGGAAAATCGACAAGGAAGGAAGATCAAGAAGCTACGAACGGACAATGGGCTAGAGTTTTGCAAAGACGAGTTTAATCAGTTCTGTGCAGATGAGGGTATAGGTCGGCATCATACTGTCAGGAAGACACCACAGCAGAACGGTGTAGCAGAACGGGTTAATCAGACACTGCTAGAGAGAGTTCGATGCATGCTCTCTAATGCAGGGCTTGGGAGGAGGTACTGGAGTGAAGCTGTGTTAACAGCTTGTTATGTCATTAATAGGGGTCCTCATTCTGGAATTGATTCCAAGATTCCGTTTGAGATCTGGAGTGGTAAGTTGCCTAATTTTTCGAATTTGAAGATTTTTGGTTGTGTTGCTTATTATCATGTTATTGAGGGTAAGCTGGATCCACGAGCCAAGAAGGGGTGTTTTGTTGGGTACGGGGATGGTGTGAAGGGGTTTAGAATTTTTTCACCTTCGGAGGGTCGGGTCATTCTTAGTAGGGATGTTACTTTCGATGAAAACACCATGTATTCAATTAAAAATGCAGAGATTTCAGATTTGAGAAGGGAAGGAGACAATTTATTACAGACAGATGGGGTACTTGAGGTACATCAGTCTACCATTGCTGATTTACCTCGGGTACAATATATTGATGATGATGCTGATGTTCCAGTGCCGGGTACTCCTGAACCTGAGATTACTCCTACTCATTCTAACTCTGGGGATGAGGTGGAGCAATCTAATCAGGGGTCATCTAGTCAACCTGACACCATTCTTGAGATGCCTAAACGAGTTATCAAGAAGCCTGTTAGATTGATTGAAGAGATGGAGGGAAGAAATTGCTGTGTTGATGCGATGACAGGTTATGCATTGAGTGTAGCTGATGATGTAGAGTCATTTGAACCTGCCACATATAAACAAGCAATTAGTTGTAGTGAGTCTGCGCAATGGCTTGCCGCAATGGGTGAAGAGATGCAGTCTCTTTACAAGAACAGAGTGTGGGAACTGGTAAAAGTACCGGAAGGGAGGAAGCTTGTGGGTTGTAAATGGATTTACAAGAAGAAAGAAGGGTTGTCGGAAACTGAGCAAATACGTTTTAAGGCTAGGCTAGTTGCTAAGGGGTTCAGTCAGGTAGAAGGGGTTGATTTTGTTGAGATATTCTCACCTGTGGTTCGACATACTTCTATCCGTGTGTTATTGTCAATTGTAGCACATTTTGATCTTGAGCTGGAGCAGTTGGATGTTAAAACGGCTTTCCTTCATGGCGATTTGGAGGAGGAGATTCTGATGAAGCAGCCCGAAGGATTCGAAGTTCCTGGAAAGGAACACTATGCCTGCAGATTGCTAAAGTCATTGTATGGACTTAAGCAATCCCCCCGACAGTGGTACAAAAGGTTTGATTCTTTTATGGTTTCACAAGGTTTTGACAGGAATTCATATGATTGCTGTGTGTATCATAGTAAGCTGGATAATGGTTCCATGATTTATCTTTTGTTATATGTTGATGACATGTTGGTTGCCACAAAGAATAAATCTGATATTGCTAGATTAAAGGAGATGCTTAACTCGGAGTTTGACATGAAAGACTTGGGTGCAGCTAGGAAGATTTTGGATATGGAGATCTACAGGGATCGGGCTAGAGGTAAGCTTTTCTTGACTCAGAAAAGCTACATTG